TTGAAGAGAATATCAGCTGACATAAACAATAGCAACCACAAAACAAGTGACCCTGAAAATAGGTCACAGCAAGATAATGTAACCATGATTTTTGACCCATGATGGAAAATGCTGTCCACATCCAGAGAAAGAACCTATGGAGTCTGAATGCAGATAGAAGCATACTATTATTTCTCTCTCTCTCTCTCTCTCTCTCTCTCTCTCTCTCTCTCTCTCTCTGTCATTCTTTTTCTTTGTTTCTTCTTTCTTGTGGTTTCCCTCTTTAGTTCTAATTCTTCTTTACAGCATGACTAATGTGGAAATTTTTTTTAAAAAAAATAAGATTTTTAAAAAGTCCTGACACTGTATTTCAAAAAATCACAAATAAAAATTGCCTGCTGCCCAGATCTACTAGAACAAGTGGGAAAAGTGAAGATCAAAATAATCTGCCAATGACCTCCTTAAATTCAAAAGTAAAAGTCCCAGGAATGTCTTAGCCAAAATCTAGACCTTCCACATCAAATTTGTAAAAATACTGCATGCATCCAGGAAGGAGGAATCACAGTCAGGATTGTACAAGACCTGTCACTTCCTATGAAAACTAGAGGAGATCTTGGAATACAATACCAAATGACAAGAAATACAGGCTTACAATCAAGAATAGCTTATCCTGCAAAGTTGAATATAATCATATTGGGAGGGAGGATGGGGGATGGGGAGTAACTTAATTTTTTTTTTATTTTTATTTTCAGTTTGAAATTCCTCCCCCCCCACACCCATTAAGAAAACAAACAAAAAAAAATAATGCCCATTATAATATGAAATCGTGCAAAATGTATTTCCTCATAAGCTATTTTGAAAAAAAAAAAGCAAGAAAAATAAAATGAAAAAAATATGCTTCAGCCTGCACTCAGAGTTCATCAGTTCTCTCTCTGCTGTTGGATAGCATTTTTCATCATGAGTCCTTTGGAATTGTTGTAGATCATTGTGTTGATCAGAGTAACTAAGTCTTTCACAGTTGATTGTTGTTAAAATTTTGCTGTATTATATACTCCTGTTCTCCTAGTTCTGCTCATTTCACTTTGCATCAGCTCATGTAAGTCTTCCCAGATTTTTCTGAAACCATCTTCTTCATCATTTCTTATAGTATTATAATTCCATTCCAGACATATACAATAACTTATTCACCCATTCCTCAATTGATGAGCATCCCCTCAATTTTCAATTCTTTGCCACCATAAAAAGAGCTGCTGTAAATATTTCTACATATAATTCCTTTTCCTTTTTCTTTGATCTCTTTGGGATACTAACCTAGTAGTGGTATTGCTTATACAAAGGGTATGCACAGTTTTATAGCTCTTTGGGCATAGTTTAAAATTGTTCTCCAGAATGGTTGGACCAGTTGGAAATAAATCTTTAATGCAAAGAAAACTTTCAAAAATTTATGTTGAAAAGGCCAGAGCTGAGTAGGAACTTTGAAATATAAGCACAAGAATAAAGAGGAACCTAGAAAGAGAAATTTATTCTAGCAATTGGAAGGAGAGATATGATATTATTATGTGTTGTTACCATTCTAATAGGGAACGGAAAAAAAATAAGTGTCCTTTCAAAACCTTAATGTTTTCAAAGGAGATTAAATAATAAGAAACAAAAGATTCAGAGGCGGAGTGTGTCTTTTCCGAAGGTTGTTTGAGAATAAAGAGAAGAGAGTAAAAGGAACACACTCATGAATAAAGAAGGAAGAAGCAGGTGGAATTTAATTAGGGCAAATAAGGATATAAATATGGAGGAAAGGAGAGAACAAGCATCAGATGAACCTCACTTGTATTTGAAGTGGACAAAGTAGAGTTAAACACACACACACACACACACACACACACACACATCCCAACACTCTGATGTACAAATACATCAAACTCAACTACGGAATGGGCAGGGATGAAGGAGGGCTTAAGAGGGAGAAAATAGCCACAAGCAAAATAAACTTCCTGATCCTGAAGTGTGGGAATTAAAAAGGGAGAAAAAGGGAAAGAACTAGAATCTTAAAGGGGTGCCTGTAAACAGGGGGATGGCTGAATAAATTGTGAAATGTGAATGTAATGGAATATTGATTATTGTGCCAAAAGGAGACAAGAAGTTATTTCAGAGAATTTCAGAGAATCCTGGGCAGTGTAAACTGATGCAGTGGTATGAGCAGAACCTGGAGAACAATTATACAAGGATAACAACTTTGTAAAGAAAAACATCTCTGAAAGACTGATCAATGTAATGACCAGCCATGTCTCCAGAGGACCTATCATAAAGCAGAGGCTCCTGACAGAGGTGATACTCTCAAGGTGTAGAGACATACATTTTTGGACATATCCACTGTATGGATTAATTTTGTTTGACTGTGTTTATTCGTTACAAGGGTTTTTGTTTGTTTTACTTCCTTTATTTTAATGGGGATGGGGAAAGGGGTGAGAAGAGATATCTATAGTGACACCAAAAGAAAGAAGAAAAAGAAAGAGGACCATTGAAACATTTTTTTAAATGAATAGGCAAGAATAAGAGGAAATTCAGAAGTGCAAACAAGGAGCACGATTTTGAAAGTAACATGTAGAATGTATTAAAAAAAAATTGAATCCTGATAAAAACAAAAATGGAAATCCTGAAAATCAAAGGAGAAATAAATAAAATTGAAAGTAAAAAAAATTAACTAATAAATTAAAGTAGGAGCTAATTTTATGAAAAAAACCCCAATAAAATAGATAAACCATTGGCTAATTTCATTTAAAAAAAAACAAAAACAAATTACCAGTATCAAAAGGATGAATGCACCACCAATGAAGATGAAATTAAAGGAAGTATAAGGCATTATTTTACCCAATTATATGCCAGTAAAACTGACTTATGACATTGAAATGGGTACATATTTACAAAAATATTAATATAATAGATTAACAAAAGAAGAAGAATACTTAAATAACCCTATCTTAGAAAAAAGAAATTGATCAAGATATTAATGAGCTCCCTATGAAAAAAATCCCCAGGACCAGATGTATTTACAAGTTAATTCTACCAAACATTTAAGGAACAATTAATCCCAATACTATATAAACTATTTGAAAAAATAAGTAAAGAAAAAGTCCTACCAAATTCCTTTTATGACACAAATGTAGTTTTGATACCTAAACCTGGGAGAGCAAAAACAGAGAAAACCATAGACCAATTTCCTTAATGAATATTGATGCAAAAAATTTAAATAAAATGCAAGAAAAGAGATTACAGCAATATATCACAAAGATCATACACTATGGCAGGTGAGATTTATACCAGGAAGGCAGGACTGGTTCAATATTAGGAAAACCATCAACATAATTGATCATATAAATAATAAAAACAAAAATCATATGATTATATCAGTAGATGTAGAAAAAGCCTTTGACAAAATATAACACCCATTCCTATTAAAAACACTGGAAAGCATAGAAATCAATGGAGCCTTTCTTTAAATGATAAGTAGTATCAACGACTCTGAGGTACTGCTTCATACCTATCAGACTAGCTAACATGACAGAAAAAGAAAATGACAGATGTTGGAGGGGATATGGAAAAAATGTGGATACTAATGCACTATTGGTGGAGTTGTAAACTAGTCCAACCATTCTGGAGAACAATTTGGATATGTGCCTAAAGGACTATAAAACTGCATACCCTTTAACCTAGTAATACTGGATCTGTATCCCAAAGAGGTCAAAGAAAAGGGGAAAGGATCTATCTGTACAAAAATATTTGTAGCATCTTTTTTTGTGGTGGCAAAGAATTGGAAACTGAGGAGATGCCCACCAACTGAGGAATGGCTGAACAAATTGTAGTATGTGATTGTGATGGAATACAATTGTGCTATAAGAAATGATGAGCAGGATGGTTTCAGAAAAACCTTGCAAGACTTATATGAACTGATGCAAAGTAAAGTGAACAGAACCAGGGGAACATTGGTCACAGTCACAGCAATGTTGTAAGGATGATCAACTATGAAAGACTTAGCTACTCTGATCAAGACAATGACAGTTTCTAACGACTCATGATGTAAAATGCTATCTGCCTCCAGAAAGAGAACTGCTGAACTCTGCGTGCAGATTGATGCATACTTTTAAATTTTTTCTCTATTTTTCTTTTTCATCTGTGTTTTCTTTTGCAACATGGCTAATATGGGAAAATGTTTTGCATGATATCACATAGTTAATCAATATCAAATCGCTTACCTTCTCAAGGTGGGGAGGGACAGGTGGGAGGAAGAGAATTTGGAACTCAAAATGTTAAAACAAATGAATGTCAAAAATGTTTACCGGTAATTTGGAAATATTTAATGAAATAAATAAAATAAACATTTTTGAAAGCAAATGTTATGAAATTTAAGGTTGCATACGCAATTCTCTTTGTAAAAATGGCAATGCTATTTTTGTATGTTTAAGTTCATGGTGATAAAATTTAAAAGTTAGTGATGGAGTTGGGATTAGAATCCAGGCGTTTTGACTATATGGCCAATACTTTCCAGATATATTCCTCAAACGTTATGCTCCCAATAGGGCATAGGGACTAAGAAAGAATGGGCATGTACTTAGAAAAAATGAAGGTGGTTTTTCAAGTTGACAGATATTTAGATTCAATCAATATATTTTCTTCTTCGTTGGTCCAATTATCCATTAATGTGATTTCATTAACTATAGCTCCAATAATTTGCTAAGTGTTATAGAGTTAGATTCATAGATTTGACCCAGAAGAGATGCTAAAAGTTTTTGCTGAAGAAACCAGGACCCTATTTCTGCCTTCTGATCTTAGATGAGCACGAGTATCCTTTACAAAGATCTTCCAGCAGTCTCACCACCTGCAGTCTTATTTACTTAGGGAGAATAGGTTCTATACCTGAATATGAAGATTTCTGCCAATCTCGATCAGTATCTGTTTTGGGACCCTTTCTTTGGCCTTTGCCAGCAGTTCATACAGGGAAATGATCAGTCATGTGTCTTCCTTCTCAGGTCTGGCGTGAGTTTCCTGATAGACTGGTGGGATACCCCGGCCGCCTGCACCTCTGGGACCATGAGATGAGCAAGTGGAAGTATGAGTCAGAGTGGACCAATGAAGTATCGATGGTGCTCACGGGAGTAGCCTTTTACCACAAGGTGATTAAGGAGGGCTGGGGAGAAGTGCTGGCAGTGAATATGAAGAACCGTTTTCTTAGGTGACCTTAATTTTCCACCGTAATTAGGTCACATTCTGCAAAGCTTGAAAAATGGAAGTGAAAATGATTTAGAAATCTCATAGCACTGGGAAGGAACTTTTAGAACAAAACCAGTCAGACGAGAAAGATTTATCCTCTTTTAGGGAGATCGTGAAGACTGCGGCATTTGGCTTTCTATAGTAAAATATATGATGGTTCCCCTCCACTTGTGCCATCGATTGTGTCTCTTTCTGCATTCCCATTTCAGTCATATTCATTCTTTCTGTCTTTTCTCTCTGTTTATCCCTCTCTGCCTGTTTCCCTCTTTCCATCTTCCTCCTCCCCTCCCTCCCTCTCCTGCATACTCTTTTCTGTTACTTGGAAACATGCATAGATCTCTACCATCTTTAAACACCCTTGACTCTTTCCTCTCAGTCAGGAGCCTACATCTACAGCCTCTCTTTCATGTGTCCCCTTCTCCTCCTTCACCAGCCTCCTTAGCTTTCCTTTGAGCATTTTACCAATTTCCATTTTCTCCATCTCTCTGACATGCTCCAAGCAGCTGCCAAAGCAATCTTTCTTAAGCTCAAGTCTGACCCTGTCACTCCCTGGTGCCTTTTGGAAAAATTAGAAACTCTCAGGCGGTATTTAAGGTCTTCCGCAATCTGGCTCCAACCTAATTTTTCCAGCCTTATTTCATGCTACTCTCTTTCATGCATTCTACTCCTAGCAAGCTGTTCCCTGAACTTGATTCCCTCGCCTGTCTCTGTGCATTTGTACTAGCCATCTGATATGCCTAGAATGCACCACTTTTTCATTTCCAACTCTTAGAATCTCTCTTCAAGACTCAAGTCTTTAAAAACTAACCTGATTCTCTAGCTTTGAGTACTCCCTATTATTTCAAATGTGAGTTCCTCAAGAACAGAGACTGTAATATGTGTCTTTGTATTCCTAGCACCTAGTGGGCACATAATACATTTTAAAAATTACATTGAATTTTTCAAGTATTCCCTTTTAAGCAAGAGATATGAGCATCAGATAGTTTTTTTTTTTCAACTGAAATAGAAGGATATTGGAGTAAGGTAGAAACAATATTTGTTCAGTTGTTTTCAGTCATGAAAACTCTTTGTGACCCCATTTAGGGTTTTCTTAGCAAAGACACTAAAATGGTTTGCCATTTCCTTCTCTAGCTCATTTGACAGATGAGGAAATTGAGGCGAACAGGGTTAAGTGCCTTGCCCAAGGTCACACAGCTAATAAGTGTCTGAGGCCAGATTTGAACTCAGGAAGGTAAGTCTTCCTGAATCCAGGTGCAACACTCTATCCACTATGCCATCTAGCCACCCATAGAAACAATATGGAAATATTTACATCATATCTGCTGACCGTATTTGTTATACATATTATGTATTAGATATGAATGGCACTTGGATGGTTCAGAGCACTTTTTTCCCCATCTAGATCAGAAGTTGGCAAACTATGGCAAAAGCCCTTGAGCTAAGATTGGTGTTTACATTTTTAAATAATTTTTTAAAAAACCCAAACATTCTTACTTTGTAGTGCAAAAGTAGGTAACTGGCTGGATTTAGCCTTTCCCGACCTCAATCTAAACCATTGACATAAGCCCAGATACTGGGCTTTGTCAAGTAGGGTCTATGCTTACCATATTCTTAGGTTGCTTGTAACTCTATATAATGGGAGCAGAATTTGAACTAATACAAGATCTCTTGTCTTCCTCTCTTCTTCCAGTATTTTAATTACCTGTACACCTACAAAATGCCTGGAGACATCAAGAACTGGGTGGATGCTCACATGAACTGCGAAGATATTGCCATGAACTTCCTGGTGGCCAATGTTACAGGGAAAGCTGTCATTAAGGTGGGATTCTTACAATCGTGGAATTTTAGAGCTGAAAAAGGACTTGTACAAATATGTATTTCCTATCTATTCAGGGTCTTACTTTATGTGTGCTTTACAGTATAGTGCCTTAGAGACCATATAATTCTCTGTATATCTGCTCCTAACATCTCTATGAGATGGATACAACAGACATTATCTCTAGTTTGCAGATAAGGAGATTGAGGTCAAGATAGGCAAGCTCTAGCTTACCAGCTATTTCACACACTTGACAGGCCATATCCCATGCCCATGTCACCCTCTTCATTCCTGACTCTTGGAAGTTCTAACTTCCTGCTGAACTCAGCTCTGGTACTGAATCAAAGCTTCCTGATCTGCCCTCTTATTGCCGTTCTGTCTTTCATGAAATTGTTTGTTTCCCCTTCTGCCTCCATAGAATGTTAACTCCCTGAGGGCCAGAACTACTTTTTTACTGACTCAGTGCTGTGGCTGAGGGGACAGAGTGATAGGCTTTGGAGGAGCTGGGTTCAAATGCCACCCCTGCTATTTACTGATCTTGCTACCTTTAGAAGGTCGCTGAATCGGTCCCTCTGGCAGCTCCTTAGGACTCGTCTCCTAAGTCCTAGACTCTCACCCAAGAGTGCCCCATGCTGATGAAATCACTGGTCCTTCCTCTAGGCCCTTCCCGTTCTAGGTATCTAGTCTATGTTTGTTGAATTAAACTGGCTGAGGGTGACTCACATCCAGGTCTGCTGACTCTTGGCCTAGACCTCCTTTGTTCTCCTGTGGTGTCTTTCACTGCCTGAAGCTGACAGTGGGCAAGGCCTCCAGGAGGGAGCTCCATGCAGAGTCAGGAGGTGATATGTAGGATGAGAGATGAAGAACCTCATTTGGATCTTTTTAATCCCGTGGTGTGATGTCCGTTGTAGAAACGCACAGCATCCTTCCTGAGGTCAGCATCCAGGGGAGTCTGTGCTGCAGAGAGAGGCAGAAGGGGAAAACCCTGAGGTCCCTGGGGCCTACCCAGCTCCTGCCTGCCCTGTCCATCTCAGAGTGGACAAGGAGCTAATTGGGAGAATGTTGGGGGGGGCAGGGTTCATTTGGAGCTCTCGACATGCATTTGTACATTTTAAACTTGTGATAGCTGCTCTGGACACTCCTTTCAAAGACTGAAAGTGGAGGATGATTAGATGCTCCACCCCACTCTGTGTGCTTCTGGCCAGGACAGCCCTGGCAGGTTTCCTAGGAAAACCCTCTTCGAAGATAAAGGCAAGAGAGAGTGGTGGGACTTGGACTGTGGGGGAGGGGAGAGAATGAATATAAGGGTTTCTTCTGAAATAAGGGCCTGCCTAGTAACCTGGCACTGGCCCTGCCCAGAGGCTTCTTGCAGCCTCTGCCAGGCAGCGCTGTGCTGGAAGGAGCAGAAAGACGGTCTGTTGGGGTAAGGTTACGGTGAGAGCAAGGAAGCCATATTTCATCGCCCTTATGACTGCAAGAACAAATGGTGTTTATACAGGGACCTTGGCAGTGAGAAAACAGTCATTAAACAGGAATTAAGCAGCTTGTCATCGCCACTTCTTTCCAGTTACAGAAGGCAAACCCTCCAAGCCGTTTTTATTGGGCCCTTGTGAGCTCTGCTCTTGGCCAGGCCAGATGGGATTGAATGGAGGAAGAGTGAGGTGTGTGTGTGTGTGTATGTGTGTGTGTGTGTTCATGTGCACACGTGTGTATGTGTGGAGCGCAGGAGAGGTTCAGCTTACAATGCAGAGGCACTTTGAATAGCATGGCAGGTGTGCAGTGAGCATTCCCAGTACTGACAGTGTGGTCTTTTTCTTGTGTCCCTGCCCCCAGGTGACTCCACGTAAAAAGTTCAAATGTCCTGAGTGCACAGCCATCGATGGGCTCTCCCTGGACCAGACGCATATGGTGGAAAGGTGAGTGAGCCCGGGCTGGAGGCTCTGCTCTGCTCTGCTCTTCTGCTGCTGGCCTATGTGTGGGACCTTCCTGAGACATTAGGATGGCAGTTGGAAGGGTCCTACTCCCTTTACTCTGTGGGAATAGGGCCTAGTTCAAGCTCAGGTCACGCAGAGAATGAATCTGGAATGTTACTTGCCAAATTCATAATGACTGGGAGGGCTCAGGAGTGTGGTCAGCCATCATCTCCAAGAGCCAGAGTCTCCATATTGACTAAGTAGTTAACCATCCTCAGTCTCTGATAATTGGAAACTGGCTCCCTTTTTAAGAGCAGTGTGTCTGTGTTATAGTGCAAATTTGAATGGTCAGAATTAAAAGCAAAGCAACCAGGAAACAAATGACCTTTGCCAGCACTGCTGAGCTACCAGCCAAGATGAGGAACAGATTGAAAGCTCCTTTAAATTCTTAGAGGAAAGGCACTGGGGGTATCCATAATATTCATGTTCTGACTCCCAGTCGATCATTACTTTATTCATTGTGCCTTGCCTGAGTGCCTGCCACGTCTAGAGCATTATACCAGGTCTTAATAAATGCAAAAGAGAGAGAGGACATGGTGTTGCCCTCAGAGAGCGTATTGTTCAGCACGGGCGCCCTCAGTGCTCGTGAGAATCTTCTAGGTTCTCAATCTCTTCAGCACCAGGCATACAGGGACCATGTCAGTTCATTTCCATTCAGCACACATGGGCAGATAGAAAATGTAGGTAACACATGGTCTCTGCTCTCAGCAAGTGGTGACACAAACAATCAGCTCATTTCTCAACTCGTTTTCAGCATCTCCACACAAAGCGCTTGCTTGGCCCAGCGTGTCAGGGATTGCTGACCGCTAACTAAATACATAGGTTGGAAGAGAGAAAGAAAACTGTGATATAAGCCATTTCTAGGTCAGGTAGTGGGGCAGTCTAGCCCAGTGGGTGCAGTAAGGGTAGAAGCCAGGGAGACCCAGCTCCAGGGCCAAGCTCAGGCAAGCTCTTGGAGGGCCCTCCATGCCCCAGATAACTTTGTCAGTGCCTAGCACATAGTAGGTGTTTACTGATTTGGTGACTAGGAGTTGTACAGAAGGTGCCAGCCTGCACTGGTGAAGAGAAGCTTCCCACACAAGTGAAATTCAAGATTTAGTATGTACACATCCCCTCTCCCTGCATGAACTAAGGGGCTTCCATAGACAGTCTCCTTTACCATAGTCTTTAAATGTTCCCCTTGCAAAAATGAGTTGCAGCACTCATCAATCATGGCATGTTCAAGATACACGAAACAGTAGGAATCTAAAGATAACTCATAGGGTGTGTGTGAGTCCTTACTAAAGACGCTGTAGTTCTGGAAGATCCTTTGTTCTGAAGTTTGAGATGACAGGACTGGGGTCCAAGAGCACCAGCTGGGCGGGGCTGGCCCAGCACCCTGGCTCAGAACTTCCCTGTGGGCTCCAGCCAACACATTTGTCCCCAGACGGCTGCCAGGCAGGGTCAAAGTGTCATGACCTCGGCCAGGATTGGTTCCATTGGCACCAGATCACCCCCACAAAATGGCAGGTCTTCAGAAGGAAGCCAGAAAGTCGCTAATTAGTCACTTTCTGACTCCTTCCATGGCTCCAGAGGCAGCCCTTAGTATCACTGTGCTTGGTGGAAAAGGAGAGGCTCGTGTCAGGGATCAGGCAGAGTTATTGATGGAAGCAGTTAGTGGACCTTCTTGTCAAGGTTATCGGCAGTTATGCATGGTGACGGCCAGAATTTCCTAAGGAATTGGCAGAGTGGCCGAGGACCAGAGGGGAGCTAGGCCAACCCTCACATTTTACAGATGAGAAGATTGAGCTGCCAGAGAAATGAAGTGACTTCCCAGAGGTCACACAGGGAATACATGGCAGAACTAGACCTCAAACCCAAGACCTCAAGCTTGAACATCAGTGTTGTTACCATTGAGCCACACTCCCTCTTAGCTCTAGTCCTCTTTCTGGGTGGACACAGGTAGAAGAAACTAGGAAACAGGTTCATCTGGCAATGGAGTAGGGAACGTTATCATGCAACGAGGGCAAGTGCCTTCTCAAAGGTGGGCCATAGGGAAGAAAAGAGAAAACATTCCTCAGATTCAGGGCAGTCAAAGGGCCCTCATGGAGGAATGAGCAGACCAGAAGCTCCTGTGGCTTTTTGTGTGGACCTTGCAGCCCTGATGTTGTCAGATCCAGTTAGAGGGGAGGGTCGTCCCGAGTGATCCCCAAAGAGCTACGCCAGGTATGGAGCTACTGCCCTCCGCCAAAATGGGTCTCATTTCTCACCTTTCACTCGCCAATTTCCACGTTGCACCCAGTCAGGTTTTGCTGGCAGGAAAGTGTGATGAGGAGTGTTTGGAAACCTGAAGAGTCTGCGTGTTCGATCATTTTAAGCCAAAGGCACAGCTAAAAAAATAGTATTTTGACTAGAAAAGGTCTAACCAGCAATTGCTGTGGTATCAGAGGCCCAGATCTGCAATATTTGAGACACTGAAGGCAGTGTCTGGAGTTTGCCCTACTCCATTATACCAGTTCTCCTCAGTTTTGTCCTACTTCCCAGTTTAGTGTAGGATATAACACCCCCTCCAGGTTTCTTTTCCAGAGGCCAGTTACTACTTTCATGAATTCTAGGGTACCCTATGAGTCCATGCTTCTACTACTACTACTACTACTGCTACTAGCACTACTACTACCACTCCACTACCACTACCATTACCACCACCACTACTACTACTACTACTACTACACTACTACCACTACTACCACCACCACCATCACCACTACTACTACTACTAGTAGTACCACTACCACTAACACCACCACACCACCACCACCACCACCACTACTACCACTACTACTACTACTACTACAGCTCATAAGTTCCACTGGTGTGCTTTATATGAACAGTCAGACAAGAGACACAAAGCTCAAAGCAAAGACATTAAGATAGCATAATAAGAATAGTTGGCTACATAACATTCCTCCCATAAATCTGGGACACACTCAGTCAATAAACATTTATTAAGCACCTACTATGTACCAGGCAACTGCGCTAAGTGCTTGGGTTACAAAAAAAGGCAACAGACCATCTCTGCCCTCAAGGAGCTTATAATCTTATGCATACTCTCCCACACACAATATACACAGTAACCATGGGAAACGTGTGATACACATGGGAAAGTCATGTAGCCAAGGCAGCTCACGCCTCTGGTGTTACAGGGCCTCGTATCTCTCCTGTCCTTGTGTGTCCTCACACAGCTCTCCGCCGGCTGCAATGTCGAGGCTGCCTGGTACTCTCGGTCGAACTCCCGCTGCCTGCTTCTTTCCACAACACAACTTTGGTTGCCAGGCTAGCTCCATCCTGAGTCTGTCGGTGCTGCCAGATGTCCCGTTGCTTCAAACTGCTTGAATGGTGCCTCTATATCTATGAAATAGAGTCACAGATTTAGGGCTCCGATCTCGCTCCCTCGATTTACAGATGAGAACGCTGAGGCCCGGAGGTCAAGTGACTTACCCAGGTCACACAACTAGTAGGTGGCTGAGACAGGACTTGAATCCGGGTCTGTCCACCACACCGTGCTTGCCTGTCTGTGTACAGAGTGTATACTCCCGTGTTCCCTGGTGGATGCGTTGTTTCTTTCCAGGCAAGTAGCTCTGCTATGAGGTACCATGAGGGAGGGAGAGGAGAGAAAACCCCATCCTCCTTCCCTATCTCTTCCTCTCCCTCATCCCTGGAGTTAGGAAGACCTAAGATCAAATCCAGTCTTGGAAACTTATTATCTGTGTGACCCTGGGCAAGTCACTTAGCATCTGAGCCTCAGATTCCTGAACTGTGATATGCTGATAATAATTGCGCCTACCTCTCAGGGTTGTGGTAAGGATCAGATGAGATAATATTTGTAAAAAACTTAGCATTGTGCCTGGTGCACAGTAGGTGTATTAGATGCTTATTCCTTCCCCACCCCCATTCCTGCCCCTTTCTTTCTGGCAGAGGCACAGGATTCGCATTCCACACAGTTGCTCCCAACCTCACCTAACCAAAATTGCCTCATGCTCAAACTGTTCATCTGCCTGTTAAGGACCACTGAGGATGTGGCCATTTGGCCAAGTCGAGTTCCCCAATAATTCAGTCAAGGAACTGGTTCACATTTCATAAAGGGACGAGCCCTCCGTCTTCCCAGCGAGCGCGCCCCCCTCTTCCCAGTTAGTTTCACACTTCGCTATCTGCGCTTTCCTTTCTGAGAGGAGATCTGGGCTTGGGGCTGGAGAGTTGACCCGAGGTGGGGAGGGCAGGGCTTTGTAGACACAAAGCACCACAGTCTGGGACCAGAAGGCTTAGAGTTCTAATGGACCTTAAAGAGCATCTCATCCAACCCCTTCCTTTGCAAGGGGAGAAAGTAAATGGAGCCACCAAAGGGAAGAGGCTGGTCCCAGCTAGACAAGTGACTCCTTCTGTCTGGCAGCCAGCACTGAACAATCATCTAGTGAGCTCTTCCTGTGTGCAGGCCCTACCTTCAAGGGGCTTACATTCTAAGTGGGGAAGACAACCCATAAGGGGAGCTGAAAGAGGGGCTGGCGAGGAGCCTGGTGAGAAGAGAAGAGGTGGTTGAACTGGGCACCCTCTTTAACTGAATGTTCTGGGATTGGCCACAGGGGCTGAGGGTACTTCCAAGGCATGGAGTCTGGGGCTGAGGTCACCGTCCAGGATGAAGTTTTCTGGGGCACAAGAGAGGAATCTGAATTGCAACCTGCTGCAAGACAGTCTCCTTTGCTGGGTCTTCATTCAAGTCATGGTCCCTGGATAGGAAGTGAGATGGAATGAAATATGGCTATTTTTCACAATGTTCTGCACTGTCTTCTTAAAAAATGTGCATGGAGGAGTTTGTGACAAAACTCGGAAATGCAAAGCTTGATGAGGAAATCCTGACTCATCCTCATTTAGAGAGCTTTCCTTGCCCATCGATTGGGGTAGCTGGAATGAATGCCTGTGTTACACTTCCATCGGCCTCAGGAGCTCAGCCCTGTTGGGTCAGGGAGGAGGGTCAAGTGGCCATCACGACACAGGAGTAGCAGCTTTAGCGCAGACTGCTTTCCCAGTCCCTGCCTTGTCACTGGCCTCCCCTGTGTCCTGGGGGACATGACACTTGTCATCTAACTAGCAATTCTGTTTCTCCCCATATCCATTGCCTCAGGATTTCCGTGATCCCTTAGGTCCTGGGCTCTTGGCATCACTTGTCCAGAAATCTCTGGGAGGTTCCAGATGTCCTTATGATAATGGAGGACACCCCTCCTCCCGGTCACCCAGGCTCACAGCCTGCCATCATCCTTCACTCCTTTGCCTCCTTCCACGTGTCCAGTTACCAAGTTCCATCTTTTTAATACCTGCACACCAGCTCTCAAATATTCCCCTTCTCCACTCTGACCCAGCCACCCTCTAGTGCAGGCGCCTCTACTCTAGCATTAGCTGCTGGTGACGGTGCTGGCCTCGAGCCTCCACCCGCTCCAGTCCTTCTGCATTCAGCCACTAAATCTGACCATGGCGCCCTCCTACTCATGCAATGCCAGTGGTTCCCTGGGGTCTCTCGATGTGCCCTTCACAAGCTGACTATTTGCGGCCCTTCCAGGTTCCCCAGGTGCTTTAGGATCTAGCAGCACTGGCTTTCTGAGCATCCTGCCTCTCTGACATCTCATGTCCTGACTTTCTCCTCGTCGCCTCCTCATTCCCCTGACTTCCTTTGAGACTCAGCTCAAGCCCCGCCTTCTCCAGGAGACCTTTCCTGGCCCTGTCACCCCCCCACTGGCAGGGCCTTCCCGCTGAAATGACTTCCCACCTACTGTGTGTGGATTCTGTGCGGGCGGGGCTGTCTGCCGCCAGACGGAGCTCCATGAGAGGAGGGGCCGTCTTTGGCCTTTCTTTTCCTCCTCAGTACTCAGTGCAGTGTCTGGCACGTAGTAGGTGCTTCATAATGCAAGCCGGGATGTTACCCAGTTTCTGGCTAGACCCCCGTGCCTTCTGCTAGCGCACCTCCCGTGCAGCCTGAAACCTTCCCTGTAAAAAGAATGTGCTACCCCAGGTCACAGAGCCAGCGAGTGCTTGGCCTGGGAACAGAGCTCGGGGCCCCTGGTACCCAAGGCAGGTGTCTCGGTCCTCTGAAGGTCGCCCCAGTCTCACTGAGGCCTCGCGCTCCTGCAGTGGGATTTGGAGACCTGAAGGGAGAAGGGCACTCTCACACCTAAGCTGTGCTTGGCCGACAGGAAGCACTTCCCCGCCATCGTCAGTCTCATCCTCTCAACAATCTTTGGTCATTTGTGAGAATGCTCTTCCCGGCCCAGCAGTAGATCTGAGTGCTTGGAAACAGCCAAAGAGCTAGCTTTGTTAGAAGCTCCTCATTGCTTCTCCCTGTCTCCACGTCCAGGCCTCTCCAAGGAAGCTCCTTGTACTAGCCCTTGCTTTAGCTAATTAAGATGCCATGGTCTGACTGGAGAGGGAGCTGACCTTTCTGAGATCTAGCCTCGCCGTCCCATCTACTTCAAAGGAGGTTGTTATGGCTTGCTGGGTTTGGGGTTTCTTGTTTTGCTTTTTGGGGGTGCTGTGGAGCTCCCCCCACCCCGGGTTAGGGCCAAAGCTCTCTTCATCCCTCAACTGTCACATTCAGTTGGCATGATTGACCAAGACTGCTTGTGAAGGCTCCCCTGGAGAGTCTGACCCATTCACCTTGGAGGGGTCACCAGCAGGGCTCCAGGAGAGCAGGAAAAGGGGAGGGATCCGGCACAGGCCCAGAGTCTGCAGCCTCCCTCCCTTCTACTTCTTATGGCAAAACAGTGCAGGGCAGCTCAGAAAGGTAACACAATGCTGCAGCTGTGGCTGGCGCTCACAGCTTAAGAACACCCCGGCCTGTGGAAACTCCTTGTGTCGTGGAGCCGCATCTCCCGCCCAGCAGCCGGAGAAGCCTCACTCCCTTAGACAGCTCACAGCAGCCCTGGGACATAGGGAGGGGGGTATTTTCCCCATTTTACAGATGAGGAAGCTGAGGCTAAGGAAGAGTAAACATCTTGTCCGTGGCCCCACAGCTGCTTGTGAGCTAGCACAGGCATGGCCAGGACCAGAGGCCAGATTGCCTGACTCAAAGTTCAGTCTTCATTTCTACCATTCATCCCTTCCATTTCCTCCTGTGCAGGCTTCCTTCCTGCCTTTAAACCAAGCACAGACAAGAGTAGCTGACTCTTTCCTTTCTTCCTTTACCCTCTTTCTGACTGGCAGCCAAGGAGTTAAGAAACATCTTGGCAGCTAATCCACCTTGGTTTACTGCATGTGCTCATACGTGGCGGGAAGAATGTCTGGAATTTCAGGGGGAGGGGAAGGAAACTTTGACTTGCAAGTGTGCAAGGCTTTCTGGCAGCACTCCTGCTTTCCTCCTTCCCCTCTCCTCTCCTCTCCTCTCCTCCCCTCTCCTCTCCTCCCCTCCCTCCCCTCCCCTCTCCTCTCCTCTCCTCTCCTCTCCTCTCCTCTCCTCTCCTCTCCTCTCGTCTCGTCTCCTCTCCTCCCCTCCCCTCCCCTCCCCTCTCCTCTCCTCTTCTCTCCTCTCCTCTTTTTCTCCCTCCTTTCCTCTCCTCTTATAGCATTCCCACTGAGGAGCTGAGACCCTTACCTCTGCATGAAGCATACTGGTTAAATCCTGATCGACCCCTTCCTCAGAACAGTGGATCAGCCTTCAGATAAGAGATCTTCTTCTGTGTCCTGGCATGGTCATCTGTGCACAGGAGAAAGCATGGCACAATCTTGGACTTGGAGTCAGAAAGGCCATAGTTCTAATCCGGCCTCAGATACATCCTAGCCCTATGACCCTAGGCAAGTCATTGAACTTCTATCTGCCTCAGTCTCCTTATCTGTAAAGAGGGAACAACAAAAGCACTTACCTGCCTGGGTTCTTGTCGGGATCAAAGGAGTTGACGTGTGTAAAGGCTGTGCAAACCTATGCAAATGCTAGCTGCTGTTGTTGTTATACTGCTTATCTCTCAGCCTTCTGCTTCCCTCCTTCTACAGATCTGAATGCATCAACAAATTTGCCTCCGTCTTCGGGACCATGCCCCTCAAAGTGGTAGAGCACCGAGCTGACCCAGTCCTCTATAAAGATGACTTCCCTGAAAAATTGAAGAGCTTCCCCAACATTGGCAGCTTATGAAAGATGTGACTGCCAGAGGACCAATTAAAAAGAAGCAGGGGACTCAGGGCTCTGTGGAGCAGGGTACCTGGGCAAGGGCTCTTGAGGGGGGCTTTGGCCTCCCAAATACAGAAGATAGTAATCCCCTTTCCTTTCTCCCCCCAGAAGGCAGGCCTGGGAATCTAGACTGTATGTTGTCTGAGCTAACATGCATTATGGGCTCTGGTGAACCCATTTGAAAATGCAAAATGGAAGCCTGAGTCCATAGCATCTGTATTTGCTGCAGACTGAAATTCCAGGACCTCTGACTTGTTGTGACTGGCTGCCTGTTCTAGCCTTGGTACATTTGAGATGTTGCCTGCCTACAGTTTTTAGCTTAAGGAAATCATGGAAAAAAGCATCCCCATCTCATTTTTACTTTTTCCTAATCAGTAGGCTCTTTGGGGAAAAAACCCTGACTTGGGTTCAAATACCAAACAGCAGATCACGATTCATAGATGAGACGTTGGCTACAGCCTGGGGTTGTGGGACTTGGTTCAAGACGAGCGGCTTGGAGTCCGTTGTGTACCACGTACCATTGTTCCTTGGTCTGGCTTTTTAATATAATTAAATTTTATTTTTTACCTTTTTCTCTGGTTTGTCATTGAAGACCAGTTCTGATCAGCCATAAGGGGGCATCTTTTTCCTCTATATATGTGGATATACTTCTAGGTCTGGCTATCTTTTGTCCCTGAAAAACAATGCTGCCTAGATCTGGAAGGAGATAGTACCAGAAGCTAGTATTGTCATGGCCTTCAATGGGAGTACTGCACTGGAAGGTGGAATGTCAGAGCCAGCTGCATCAGATATTCATGGTTGGAGGCAGAGCCAAGATGGTGGAGTGTCAGGAAGGAGCAGAGCAAACTCCCTCCTCAGCCCAGGAGGCCTAGAAAGTACATCAGACTGAATCCTGATGGGGAAATCCCGGAAAAAGTCACAGGGAGGCATTTTTTCCATTCTGCCTTGGCATGGGGAGACAGACTGAGAGATCCATGAATGGGGGCTCATGGAGCTCACTAGGGCCCAAAGAGAGGCTGTGAACCAGTACAACAGGGTGTCCCAGACCCGTACCGGGGCACTGTGTGCAGGGTATGGAAACAGGTGCCAGCTAGCACCTAGCCCAGAACCTGGGAGGACTGAGTAGGAAAATTCTGGGGGAAGATGTGGCTGTGGATCCTAGACTGTGTACTGAGCAAGGAGTAAGTTCAGAGGTAAGGGGCTCAGGTCCCAGGAGGGGGGGGGGGTCTCGGGTTCAGCTTCTAGCCAGGTCTGAAGCCTACAGGGGAATAACAAGGAGAGAAATCAGAGACCAAAAGGGAGCCTTTAGTTCTGTCATTCCGAACCAACAGAGCTTCCCAGCCGGCTGACAGTCTGCTGTTACTGAGGCCCAAAGCAGGTCAGGGACTTGGTCAGACCAGGGGAGCAGGAGTGTGACCTGGCCCTGAATGAAAGTGTGCATCCCTGAAAGCTTGTTGCCCCTGTCCTCACCGTCCCTGAGGTCCTGCGGTAACACAACACTCAGTACCCCAGTACAGCAGCAACAGAACCAGCTCAGGCCTTCCCTCCAGAAGTGCATGAGTCTGACCTTCACATCCAGGAAGATGGAGCAAAAGAAATGGATTTCTCCTGCCCCTCTCCCCTCATTAAGAGCTATTACACTGATGGGGTGATCAAGACACACTCCGAAACATCTACAGGCAAAGCCTCAAAGAAAAACACAGCTTGGGCACATTCAGCCAGAATTCTTAGAAGAGATGAAGAAAGAGTTTGTAAATATTTTTCTTTAATGAAGTGAGAATACTAGAGGAAAAAATGGAAAAGAAAGAATTGGAAAGGTAATTAACGGCTTTGTAGTAACTTTGAAGTTCAAACACGGGAGTGAAGAGAGACATAAAAAGCTAAACACAAGTGAGCAATGAAGGAACTAAACAAAGATAAACTACTTATATTCAAGTGTGGGGAGATGATATATGCGTCCCCTCAGGGGTCACCGAGGGAGTCTAATTAGGCAGAAGGCCTGAGACAGGTTCTGGTATGTCTTGATGATCTGAAGAGAAAGATGGAAAGAGGGTGGGAAGGTTAGGGGAAATGACCTCACAAAATCGGGGCACCCAAGAAGACATCTGTACAGACGAGGAGGAGAAAGTACAGAAGAGAGCTGATGCTTGGATCTCTCTCATCTGAACTAATCACAGAAGGGAAAAATATACAGAGTTGAACACAGAAATACCTTTCACTCAACAGGGAAGTAGGAGGGAAAGAGAAGAGTGGAGAAGGGTAGATTACAAGAGGGATTTCTCCTAAGTGAAACAAACCAAGGGTGTACAAAAATATTTATAACTCTTTTTGAAGTGGCAAAGAATGAGAATCTGAGTGGGTACCCATCGATTGGGTAATGGCTGAACAAGTTGTGGTATATAAATGTAATGGAACACAATTGTACTTAAAGAAATGACAAGCAGCGGGGCAGCTAAGTGGCACAGAAGATAGAGCTCCAGCCTTGGAGTCAGGAGGACCTGAGTTCAAATCTAGCCTCAGACACCTGACACTTAACTAGCTGTGTGACCCTGGGCAAGTCACTTAACCCCATTGCCCAGCCAAAAATAACCCAAAAAAGCACGATTTGGATGCTTAGCTGTTACCAAGGTGGGGGCATGAGGGTTAGAGTAGAGAGTGGAGTAGAACACCCTGGTAAGGAAACAGGGGGGCTGGGTCCTGCTGGAGGCAGCATCGCCGCACACACCAGTGTGTGCCCACTCACCCCCTCACTCAGTTTATTGTCATTGCCATGGCTTCCCGATCAGCGTCTCCGGCTCACAAGGTGGTGTTTCCGCCATCAGCCCCTCTGAGGACACTGAGGAATGTCCCTGGAAAGCGGAGGTGGAGTCTCTTAAGACCTACAGCTGGAAGAAACCCTCAAGATCCTTGAGTCCACCTGGGGCCTGTAGAGGCAAAGTGATAAAGAAACAACAAAACCAGTGGCTGTCTCTTCTCTACACTGTGCTCCTTCTCTGCAGAGTGACCTTGCACCAGTGCTCCAGTCTCAGAGGTCTACCCTCACCCACAAGCCCCTTGGCTTGGAATTCTGGAAATGTTCCTTCAAGGATCCATAATTTGCTTGGTGTAGACACTCCCTCTGTGGCTGTAGATTGCAGCCCTTCCAGTGACTTATCTGTGTTCTTCCTGAAAATAAAGCTTCCTCATCCAGTGGCCCTCCTCCAAGGACAGGTGGCTTCTCTGCCCTGAGCGAGGCTGAGCCTCCGACTGCCGACCCAGTCCCCCACCAGGCTCGTACATGAGGCCGGTCTGGCTTAGTTAGGAATGGTCAGACAGTGCTTGTGCTTGGTTGGGGAGCCAGGCATCCCCCCACCATGAGGAGGCATCCAGAGACTCTCTCCTTGAACCTCTTTTTCCTCATCTGTAAAATAATAACAGCTGATGTTCATATCTTGCATTATGACTTACAAAGCATTGTAGTACACCATTTCATACGATCCTAATAAACCAGATATTTTTATCGTTGTTTTACGGGTATGGCAATGACTTGCCTCAGGTCACCTAGCATGGGAATAGGTGGGGTGCAAAGCCGGGCTTCTTTTGACCTTTTGAGTCCCGAGCTCTTTCCATCACATGAGCTGGGGGTCCTCACTAAAATGAACTGTTCAGCCCTAGGAGCCATTCTGAGGTATCTGTTCTCAGATACAGTCTTGGGCCCATAGGCTAACTTCCCTTAGGCACAGGGCAGGAATCCCAGAGGAGGAAAAGCTCAGACAGTATCCATGATTACAGCCACGCATGGGAGTTTTAGTGATTCTCAGAGCTGTCAAGAGGGCTGGGCAAAATAACCATCCCCTCAGCCCCCACCCACAACAGGACCCAGAAGCATCTGGCCTTGGGGGGCCAGTGAGCCTCGTTTCAGAAGCAGAACAATGATGCTAATTAAAATGTCATGTTTGGCCCATGGCAGCCAGCAGCTGGTTTCAGATTGAGAAATCTTTTTAAAGAGAGTGCGTTCCACCAGCCCACGGAGAAGGTGAACCCAAGTTGTCCCTGTACTGCGCCCAAATGTGGGTGCTGAGCCACCCCTCCCCTCAGCCTTGGGGGACCTGCTGGGCTTTTTCCACTGTCAGGGCCCCATTGAAATTTCACAAGAGTTCCATGCTTGAATTAAATCTTTGCTCATTAATGTGGGACATTTTTACCTCATGTGTTTTACCATTGCTTCCTTTCCCACCCACCTCTTCCTCTCCCTCTTCCTCTCATTCTCTCTCCTTCTCAATTGACCTTTCCTGGAGAAACTGAAGGAGAAATTCAGAAACATTGACTTGAATTTGGTGTGATGTGGAGGATCCCTGGTTTGCCTCAGACATGGGACTTCACCAATGTGGACCTCAGGTCCTGCATCTGTGAAATGGGATAATTGGACTTTTTCCACTCTGATGCAGACCCTGTAATTTGATCACCTCAGGCACCTGCCTTCTAAGGGCTGACTTGGTTTCTCCCTGCTCGTTGAGTGTCCCTAGTCCAGAGCTCTCTCACCTCCTGATGCAAAGTGATGCAAAGACAACACTAACTCGGCCATCACATGTAGCTTCTTTGAGACCCTACGGTCTGAGAGACATTAGATATCATTTGGTCCAGTTCCATCATTTTACAGAGATCCTGGGCAAGGAGGAGTGACATGGCTCCAGACATGGGAATAGTAAATAGCTGAGTTGGATTTGAACCTAGGTTCTTGGAATAAACCCTATGCTCACTTTTTTTTTTTACTATATCTCACTATAATTTCCCTTTACCATAGGGCTGAAAAGAATGAGGGTGCCTCTGTGTACGTGGGTATGTGAGCTCATGTATGTTTGTGGTGTGTATGTGTAAGCTCATGTATGTTTGTGTGTACGCACACGTGTGATGTGTTGTGTGGGTCAGGGAATGTGCCTTGTTCTACCTGGCTGCTCTTCTGAGCTGAGAGTATCCTCAGTCTTGGATCCCAGCTTCTGCACAGGACCGGGCCAACAGCAGAAAGACCGTAGTGTGGGTATTCTGGGCCGCTGAAACCTACCTCACTCATTCAATCAAAGGACCCTAATAAAGGGTTTCCCATAAAGCATTTGCTCTTTATCTTTAGAGCACTGTGCTAGGGCAGGCCCTGGAGAAGATAAGAACAGATGAGACAGGGTCCTGGCCTTCACAGGACTAGCAATCTGACGAGGCACCTAACACACTGTCTATACCAAAACCGACAGTGAATCACTTCTGGCCCAGTCACTGCCATTGACTGCCCTTAGGGACCTGGGCTGCTGACCAGAGCTCAGCCCAGATGCACCCACCTCCATGCTGCTGCTCCTGGCCATCTTCATGCCATGCCTAGCACTCTCTTGCTCTAAGAACAGTAATTAACAATGTTCCTGGAAAGAAATGTGTCAAACCCTTTCTCTGCAAATCTACTTGCCATCCCTATGTGATTCCCATGACCAAAACCCTAACCACCAGTCCTTGTGTTTATTTTTCCTTCTCAAATAATATGTAAATTCCCTGAGGACAGGGATTGCCATACATTTTTGTGTCTGCCTCTGCCATGCTTGGCCACAGT